AAACAATGCGCACGGAAACGCGAGCATTGTGGCCAGCAACGTTATAAACGTTTGATAGCCTGATCAGGCACGGAAACGTGAGCATTGTGGCCAGCAACGTTACAAACGTTTGATAATCTGGCCAATCCAGAGGATTCTCGCCTAGCCAGCGGGGTGGCGTCAATCAAGGCTAAAACAGTGCAAATGAAACGCGAGCATTGTGGCCAGCAACGTTATAAACGTTTGATAGCCTGACCAATCCAGGTAATTACGCGAGCATTGTGGCCAGCAACGTTATAAACGTTTGATAGCCTGGCCGATTCAGGTAATCCAGGTAAATTTATCCACATTAATAATATTCGTTCAATTACAACACAATTCAGGACAGAAATGGATGTGCGGTGAAGGTTATGCGTGTTATTTTTCGGGTTTTAACTACCAATGCTGTCCATCGGAAGAGGAGCATGATTATGCCACGCAACCTTTAGAGTGTCCAGAATCTGCACTTACTGTAATCGGAAATGACGGCGCTCCTATTAGCTGCAACCTCAAAAGTCAGCCTTGTCCCGAGGTATTGCACATCAGAATTATACATGACACACGATGAGTTAAACATAGAGTCGGTGTCGCTCATTTTCTTATTTCAGACTGTCTGCTTGTATTTGTATGCCATACGAATAACCCTTTTCAAAATGTGTGTATTTTTAAAATGACAACAAAAACTTTCAATAGACTTGGATGAGCTGTACGGAAGCGGGAACAACGATGATCTGTTGTCAGCAGCCGAGTTTTTATGAACACCAGAAGACGATAGCAAAAGAGGACCATCCTCAACAGAATGAACACTCTGAAGCAGTTGACTTGGATTGCCCACCTGGATCTTTCGCACTTGTTGATTACGATGGTAACCCAATGCAGTGCCGTGATAGTGCTTGTCACCGGGTACTGCAGTTCATAAATTTTTTTCGTTCACTTTCCACCTCACCTGCTATTATGTTTGACATTTCGTCGCAGTGAGCGTTCGTAAAGATTCAACATGTGTCACTTGATATGATTTTTTCATTCATTCAGAATGATCGCTTTTGCCAAAACGAATCTGGCGAATCGATATGTTGCGAACGTCATCAGATGAAAACAACAGCAAAACAAAAAGATCTCTCATCACGCATCAGCACATCCAATAACTTCAACAAAGTGAACACCTATCTGGATGGAATTGTAAAGGTGTGATTTCATTTAATTCATCTCTTTGAAATGGTTGGATAACCATTGACTACTCATCCATCCCACTCTACCCTCAATCAGTATTTATCTACCAGTTAATCATTCATCAACAAAACGAATGCTTACCACTTAATTTCTTCCTTTACCATCAGCAGTCAAAAGCTTATGAATTGCAGTTGCATCAACCCGAATTAAATTCATTCAAAAGTGCTCCATCGGAGAAACCTTCAAAAATTATTCAGTCACAAACCCTTGCTGATCAGACGCAATCAGTTACGCCACACTTCGATAGATCTACTCAAACAATACCAACAGATCCACCAAATGTGAGTTTATCAGCCACACTGATTTCTTACTTTTCATATTCATCACTGCCATTATATAATATTCCAGTTCGAGGACAAGCATGAAAAGGCACGAGGAGTGCGATTGGAGAGTCGTTCAAAGAGTATGTTCCCAACGGAAGCTGTAAAGTTTAGACCGCACAGTGCTGGAGGATATGCATTCTCAGTTATGTCACATGAGGATGCACGTGAATATGCACGTAACTATCTGTTGAAACAGATCAGAAATGGATGGCCATATGATGATCGTTATTACTCATCATCTGGTAAGACTCACTATAGTTGGTTTACTCATTCGTTTGCCTAGCATAATCACATCTTTAATTGCAGTTATGAACGAAGACGGAATACCACTACCTGATGCACATCTCGCTTTTCATAACAAATGATTTATCGATATGATGTACATAGATTCATTGATAAAACAAGAAAAAGAATTGCGAATCAATATTTAATTGATGAGCATATAAATACTATTCACTCATTATCAGTGCGAATGAATAAAATAACTTTTCAACATTTAAAGAGCATTTAAGCATGATTTTGGGTTACCACACTGAAATGTGCAGTGAAAATAGGATGTTGTATTCAAGGATGTTAATTGAAACATAATAATAAAGCAAACATAATTATGTGCTGTTGATTCGAGCGAATATTTTGCTACATATCAGCTGATGCATAATTAGCAGATGTTCAAAGCACCGCTTCCGTTATTTCAACTTGTATTGAGCAGATTAATACGATGAAATGGTAGTTTTGCGGATTCATTTTAAAGTCTTTTCTACGTATAGGTGTGACGATCCGAGTAATGATAATCATTACTCGGATCGTTATCATTATTATTACTTTATCATTACTAATCATTATCATTACTCGGACATCGAGTGGTTGTCTTGTTAATCGCTGTGAGCGATCGACGGAATATTTGTTTTACTAGAGTTATGAATATTTATTGGATTGATATTTGACTACGATTAATTATGCAAAGTCTTCCCGGCAACTAATTAATCACTCGGTTGTGTTCGGTTGGCCTGCTCGCCTAGCCAGCGGGGTGGCGTAAATTGAGGCTAAAACAATGCCAACGGAAACGCGAGCATTGTGGCCAGCAACGTTAAAAACGTTTGATAGCCTGGCCAATCCAGGTAATCCAGGTGTGACGATCCGCCAATTTCCACCATGAGGGGATCGAGCCAGCCGACACATTAAGATGTAAACCATTCAGAATTTCAAACAAAATGCTCAGCGTGTTGATGCTTTCAAAAGGGAATGAAAAAGTGTGATATGGGCAAAAGTGTGATATTATTTGATTTTTATTGTCATCGCTTGGTTTTTCACTATTAACGTTTGTTCTCGTGAGCATTGCTAAAACGATTTTTTGTTGCTGAATGATCAAATGACTGCTGAATGGCGTAATAAGGTCTTTTTTCCTAAACAAATCAGCAGCGCGATTGCAATTTTTGGTGAACGATTCGGAAGTGACGAATATCGAATTCATCGTGCTGGGTAACGTTTTAGCGAAAACTACCGCCATTTTCTCCGGTTAGCAGCATTTAGAGCAAAAAATTTTCGCTACTTTTCCGTCAACGGCGCTAACAGCGAATTATTTTTAGCGAAACAAAAATATTTTTTAGGCGAATTAACGGTTAGCCGAGCAACTTTTTTTAGTAGCGTAACCAGGACTTATCAGAAAAAGTGGAAAAATTAATTCAGCGATGAAAACGTTTGTTGTCAACAATCAAAATTAATTTTACAACCTCCAATTCTCTCTCAGATTAAAATTCCTGGCTACTCTGAGAATCGCTGTATGCATACGCAAAGCACTTGTTCAGCTTGTCCCACTTCATTACGAAAATAATCTTCGTTCTGATGCTATCTTGCCCATGCAATCGCACTTGCACTATGCGGTGTCTTCCATACTTGTACTAATTCCGTTCCGATTCTGCATTCACCGGTCATGCTAGCGAAAAAATTTCGCTCGTGTGAGTATTATAACGATCGTTATTATCGCACTTGAGTGATCTTAAAGAATCAGTCGATTGATGATTATAGGAGCGACTGAGGTGGATAATGAACCTCAAAATGTTCACATTCACTTCGTCCGAGGTTAGACACATAAGACCGTCAAACAAATGTGGCAAAATGGCTTGAACAAGATGAATTTCGTCAACAGCGCGGTGACTTTCGGTTAATATGGATAAATGAAATTTATCGTGAAGGGGGGGGGGGGGGGGGGGGGGAGGCTTGTTTCCCAGTTTTTCGAGCTGATCTTGTTTTTTTTAAAAATCCCTTACCGATCAGTCTCATGTGATCTTCTATATTTCCGAAGTTGCTTTCCAGTTCCGGGATTGTCCCGAGACTGAATAACGATCCCGGGGTTTAGAAAACGGTCGGAATTTTGCAAAACCTACTGATGACGTCCGTTTTTTTATAGAGGTGCTAGGGCACAGGCAAGCTAGCGTCTGTGGTAAGATAAGGCGAACGCACCGGTGGCAACTACAGCGATCTCAATTTTCACTTAAAACCGGGAAATACCACTTTCAGAATCAAGAGTAGAATTTTCCGAAACTTCCCTTCCTTTGTCCAAAGCAAGTAGTTAGTTGCAAGGTTTTTGCTCATTCAAGTGAATTTGTTCATCTCAATGCATTTACTAAGAAAATGAACCAACCAAAATTGGAAATATTTTCGTTTGTTGCCGTCAGGAAAATGTTTTCACTTTACCAGGAAGCGACAAACCTCTTGTTGTAAATATAACCTCAACGGTTGATAAACATTTTGCTACATATGGCATAGCATACTTCACTTAATTTTGTGGTTTAGATTAATAAAACCAAGGCAGCATTTCGTTCTTACACAATCGTACTTACACTGCTAACTTATTGGTTTCCCATGATGTCCTAGGAACTATTCACGCTATATATCTCAGCATCGTTCGAGGATTCTAAAGATCCGCACAAAAAAAGAGTTGCATCAATGGTCCTTGGCATCAAGTTGACTTCAGTAATTGAAGCCTCAAGGAAGTAACTCAATAAAGATCTCCAACTAAAATTCTGTTCCTAGTGCTTAGTTCTGTTCATTTTCTACCTCAATAACATTCTTATTAGAACGCCGCCGCTATCATCCGAAGACCTAAAATGCTTGCAAAGCCACGGTCATGATACTGAAAATAGTATTCCACTTGCAGGCATTTCTTTTGCTTGCCAACATTGGTCTCAGCAGCAGTCTCAGAACATTCCAGATTGATATACGGCCAAGTTGAAAATATTGCACTGGTAAGGTGATGTGCAACTTGAGCAATTGGAACAGAATCTGTGTTGAAGATTTTTAAGTAACCGTTTCCCGAGGTCTTCATTGTTAGGGTCGGTTGCCTCCAAGGATCAGTGGTGTTCCAAAATTTGAAGGTGATAAGAGAACGATGAACGTCGGTTGTCTAATTTGACCGATGTTTGATTTAGAATGGAAAGAATACGAAAAAGAATTGAACATCATAAAAAATATGAGAAAGCTCGCAGTGGACACAAATGGAAAAAAGATATCATCAATCCTGATAACTCCATCAACAACAACGATATTAATAGCTGTGATGGTGATACAGATGTTGATGATAGACGAGAAATCTTGGTTGCGTGGACGATGAACAAAATATTTTTAACGGCGTTTTTGTTTCGTGTACTACTAATCTGCTATGGACCAATTCATGATTACCTTTTTGACGTAAGTTTAATGGTTTTCCCAACATGTTTCAAACCAATTTTGGTTCCATCCAACACTTTTGGCCGAACCAAGAGAAGGGTTTCAGCACCACCTGGACCATTTAGACAGTTTCTATGAAAAAGCAGTGTTCCACGTTCATTGTTTCAAAATTCCATCATCGTTATTCAGGTTCCAAGTCCGCAACTTTTGTTTACGTTTCCGTTTGTAAAACGCAATCTGTTCTGTTTCTCTCTTTATGACTTTTTTATCCCTGACGATTCGTTTTTGCGTTCATCTGTGTTGGAATTTCATCGTTTCCTTTTTCAGGTAAGCTTCACAGATGTTGATTACAAAGTATTTTCGGATGCGGCAATGTATGTTCGTCAAGGTGCTTCTCCTTATCGAAGAGCCACCTATCGTTATACGCCACTCTTGGCATGGATACTCTTGCCGAACACTGTTTGGCCAGAATTTGGTATTCACTATATATCAGTTATCATATTTTCAATTTCTATTTTTGAAGTGGAAAAATAATGAATAGAAAATGAAATGCTCTCAGAATTCAAATGTAGTGTGCATAACTTTCTGCTGACCAAAGTAAATTCGTAATTTATTGATGAGTTATCCATTAATCATCCAGAATTAGAATGAGCTCTCTTTGATGCAACTTTCTGAAAGAATCCTCGTTATACAGTATTTTCCTTTGGAAAGGGGAAGGAAAAACGTGAACATAACACGCTGTACACAACCTTCTCTGTTTGTTTCCAGCGAACGGAATGTCTGAATTATTGAATGTTGCAGGTAAGCTATTGTTTTGTCTGTTCGACATTGTTGTTGCTTATCTCTGCTATCAAATGATAACGTCGAGTTTATTTTCGTTAGAACACTCGTCGAACGTTATTGTAAGTTTTATTGGAAATTGATAAACAATAACGCTCTAGCAACAATCCATTGTTTTACTCATGCCTGGTGTCTAGCCAATGTTATTATCGTTTGTATCAAAAAACTTTCATGATGATAATTATCTCTTTCGTTTTCATTCAGCGTTCGGAAACATTAAACCGTGCTAAGCAGTGTATCATAGTCTTCTGGCTAGCCAATCCACTGACTGCAATCATATCAACTCGTGGAAATGCAGATGTTTTGGTATGTGCTGCGGTCATTTATACATTGAAATTGATTAACGATAAACAGGTTCGTGTTACCTCAGGTGTTTTTTTATATATTTCATATTTGAATAATGATTGATCATTTATAATATCATATTAGAATTTTCGCAGAATAATAAAGAAAAGTGTTGGCAAAATTGTGTGGCAGGCTGATATTGTGACGAAATTCAGTTAATTTTTTGAAGGTCAAATTGTCATTTTTATGATTAGCATAATCATTATTGCGGTCGTTAGGATGATTGAAATTAGATGGAGTAAGATGTTAGTTGTAATCATATCATTGTAAGGAATGCTGTGCTAGGTTAATGCGTCATAATATCTTTAGAATTCGTTTAATTTGTGTTCTTTCTATCCTTATTATTTCCATCAATAGGAATGCGTTTTTTGAAAGTAATAGTTGAGGTCGAATGAGTTGATTCGTGTGATTTTTTAGTGGTTATTAGCAGCAGTTTCACACGGCTTGTTGGCTGTTCAACTAAAAATATATCCTGTGATTTATATGCCTTCAATATTTTTGTGTATTTCGAATGTGCGATTGGCCAGTGGGTATTGGGATTATTGTAGAAGATTCCTATTGAATTGGAAAGGATTCGTTTTCGTTTTGGTGAGTTAATGAGCTTGTTCAATTTCTTCTTTGTTGGTTGGCTTCATTAATTTGAAACATTTATTCTAGTGTTTGTTCATTAGATGCGTACGAATATGTTTCATAAAAGGCGTGTTATGAAGTAAGGAATTGTCCAGAAATTGTTTGACACGAGTCGGAGCAGATGCATAAAATTTGGAATCTATTTTTTCTATTTAACAATAAAAGAATGTATCTTGGTTGCTCAGATTGTCCACCAAATGCATTACGCAAATATTTATACAATTATTCTCGAAAAATAGTCACAATACAATATCTGCCAGCATGTTTTAATTGGAATGTGTGTTATTTTAGATAAGCACTTCAAGTTTTACTGCAAGCGTTATCGTTTATTATTATTTCTATGGTGCACCATATTTGAATGAATCACTTCTGTATCACTTAAAGCGCATTGATACACGTCATAATTTTTCACCGTATTTCTATCCACTATATCTATCGCAATATGACAACATGGTTTCCCAATTAATTGGCAGATTTGCCTTTTTTCCGCAAGCATTCTTACTCGTCATCTTATCATTCAGGTAGTTGTTTTTTTCAGTTTTATGTCATCTGTTTTATCAAAGTTCAGTTGATGCGTTTATATTTGTTAATCCATGATTAATTTTTTGATTTTAGCTTGATTAATCAAATGGTGGTTAGGAAAAGGAAAAATTCTTTCTCTTCCTGATTTGAAAACCTATAAGTGTAAAGTATGGTGAAGAATAAATAATGCACTCAAATTTCTGTTCTTCCAGTTAAACTGACATAGTGATATTAATGTATATGTCGAAGGATAATAATGTAGTAATGATGATAATTCATAATACAGTTATGATAATTAATAGATGATAACAGTGAATATTGAACATACAATAAGAAACGATAATAATTAGTGATAATGTCAGTGGTGTTCACTAACGGTGAATATGTTCGATGCAGGTTCTATAAGGACTTAGCATTTTGCTGGATGATATTAACGATGGTATTCGTTACATTCAATAAGGTTTGCACAAGTCAGTATTTCATATGGTTCGTCTGTTTGATACCGATCGCACAACGAACCGTCGAGGTGAGTGTTCTAAAAGTCATTTTTGCATTGAGTTAAATTGTATTAATCACTGATTGGAACTGTTTATTATCGTCTTCATTATTATGTGTATAGAACACTTTATTTTGATTCGTTTGCGATTCTGTCATCATTTGTTCAGGATAATTATTTTTTGCAGATTTCCTTCAAACGTTCTGTTTCCCTAATATTGGTTTGGTTCGGTGCTCAAGGTTTATGGTTATTTCCAGCATATTTATTTGAATTTCAAGGTTTTGAGAGCTTCACATATATTTGGGTGGCGTCATTATTTTTATTTGCTACTAACGTCTCAATTATTATTCAGTTAATTTTCCATCATTTATCGAGGAGTGCAACTGCGGATTATTCAAATTGATCTTCTCTTTTTTAACCCATTAAAACCAATAATTTGGCTATTATTGTTTGGACTAGATTTTAATCTACCGACTAGTCTATTACGGTGTTAATCAGCTGCCAATTTTTCCAATTAAGAAACGATTAGGTTTTTTGAATACGTTGACAATTTTATATCAAATTTATTGTTTTCACACAAACAATGTCATCAATCTAGTCTCACCTGTTTATGCACTGTCTTTAATTTTTCGAGTGTTTCGTGAATATTTTTGACTACTTTGAATGTTTCTGACATTATTTTGCTCATAACTTGAAATTGTTACTGTTGTGCTCATTTCTTGGGAATATTGTCAAGCAGTCTTTCCGTAAGCATGAAGTCTCTTAATAATTCACTGTTAAGATCGGTAAAAATAATATCGTTGAGACATGAAAGATTTTGATGAGCTTCTGAAAGTACTGGGGAATCTCGAAATGAATGCTGGTTAATACTGTATAATGATAAGTGATGAATTGTTGCATTTTTGGTCTTTTTTTTTAAATGAGCATGATTAGTGCTGATTATAGCATTCCTCATTTACTTTTTGCTCATTCAATCGTTACTATTCTTCTACATTTGGTTCGTTTAGTGGTATTTCTTTTTCAGTCATTAAGCAGTGATTCTCTGATTTTGTTGTCGTTTATTCTTAAAACTTACTGCTCATAGTCGAGCTGAGATCATTGAAATTATTTTCATCGTTTCATTTGTTAGTTTTTCATTAATTTTAAAGATGGTCTTTCGATTGGATCATCTAACTTAGTTTATTATTGTAGAAGTGTGCGAATTCACAATTTTCCCTTCAAAATTGACATTAAAATTTCAATTTGTATACGTATTGCTTTCTATGTTGTTGGTTGATCAAACTGAATCCAAAATCGGGTTCTGTTGCGTTTTGAAATTTCAATGAGACGTTGACTTCAGCTTGTTTCGATTTTATTTGATCTCATTTCTATTTTTGATTATTTATTATGAAATTGAATTATCATATTTCGTTATTAATTATTGAAATAAAAGATTTGTTTTTCGAACGAATTGCAGTACTCAATTGAGCACATATCAGAACTGTTAAAAAGCAGTGCAGATTACGACAGATTACATATTTTGTCGTTTCTTAAACCTTATTTTGATTGCTATTCGTAATCCAGACAGAACAGTTTGTTTTCATTGTTGCTTTATCACAGTTTAGATCAATCACGGTTGAACATTTTATTTCGACTAATAATTAGGTTGCGTTCACTTCATTTGAATATTTCATAAAATATGATTTAACATTGAATGTTGTTTAGTAGAGGTTCAACCGACAGCAACGAATCAATACCGAGTTTGATATGGTATTCTATTTGATCGGACTTGGACTTGGTGATGTGGAGGATATAACTGTAAAGGGTTTAAAAGCCGTTCGTCAGTCGAGTCGTATTTACTTAGAAGCTTATACGAGTATCTTGTCCTATGCGCTTGACAAAAGTAAACTTGAAAATTTTTACGGGAAGGAATTGATCATTGCGGATCGTGAATTTGTTGAACAACGATCAGGTGGATTGATTTTTATTATCTTCAACATTGTTAGTTGCCCATTTTAGTTGGGAGGAAGTCAATCAAATTAAGGCTGACTCTCGAGTTACAATAAGTTAGGGTAATATACTTAAATAGCAGTAATTTGATTGTAGAATGACCATACTGTCCTTAAGTCAATGTTGATAAGTTCACGATTACAACAGTTTTGATTCCGATTTTGATCTTAACTTTATGTTTGAACCAGTAGTAATAGTGTTTGCGTAGAGTGAATATGAACACAGATTTGAATAATGTGTATTGCCTGAATGAGAATAATATGAAAGGTTGATTCAAATGTTCTCTCAGATGAGCTATTACTGGATGCTGATAAGAGTGATGTTTGCTTATTGGTAGTTGGCGATCCATTCGGTGCCACGACACACTCAGATCTTGTGATACGCGCACGTAACTTAAATATTCCGGTTAAAGTTATTCATAATGCATCTATCATGAATGCCGTTGCTTGTTGTGGACTCCAAGTAAGATATTTTTATCGTTGTTTTGCATTCTTTACAAAATTGACTCGTTACGACTTATTTGATAATTCATCGTCGGTTTTTATCATCACCGTTCCCACTTATCATCCTTTAAATTCTCTTTTTAACTGAAATAAATACGAATGAATGATGCTTAATTGCGGAGGTAGTTCGCTGATGAAGATATCAATTTTTTGTTAAGAATGCTGATGTAGTAGCAGTATAATTACTGCTGCAATGAATTGTTCAGCTATCCATGTATTCCTTCCCATCTATTGATTTTTATTACGTTTTTAGCTTTATAATTTCGGAGAAACTGTCTCGATAGTGATGTGGACAGATAGTTGGCAGCCTGATTCGTATTATGATAAAATAACAGCAAATCGGGCACGTGGATTGCACACTTTGTGCCTTTTGGGTATGGTTCGCTCGTATAATCGAATGTTGATTATCGTAAACAATTCTCGTACTGAATGTTGTTACTGATGCATTTCGTCTTCACGTGTGAAATGACAGAGCTTCGATATTGGAACACTGAATGAGTAATTTCAAATATTGAATTAACCAACGGCTTTTGTGAGTAAAATTTGCAAAGTATTAGATGTGATGCGAAGTAGAAAATTTTGAAATTTGCTTGAAATTTGAAGGTAATGCAGAAAAAAACTTTTCAATGTATACATGTGATAATTTCATTGTGTTTGTCATTCACGCCGACGGGATATAAATGCTTTCAAATCAAAACTTTAGTTTTGATGTATTCATTTTTGATGTACTCTGTTGTAGTGTATGTTGCATTCTGGAGTTGAGCACAAAATCATTGCAGTAAGCACTGTATTAATGATATAATTGCGGTAAGGCTGGCATGAGGATGCCGTGCATGGAAACGGTGACGTGTCACTATAGAACGATCGGTGCCAGCGGAGATGAGGAAGAAAAAGAATGGGTCCCTTGTTCTAGTCTATGTTGCAGTACTCTAACTTGAGATCATTTTGCTTGCTTGCTATTCCACTCTGTTTCATCTTGGTTTATTTCACTTTGTTATGTTTCCATTTTCAGATATCAAGGTGAAGGAACAATCAGTCGAAAATCTTATCAAGTATGTGAACACTATTGTTTGCAGAGATTCAGCATTTTCGTTCCCGCCTAGACTGATTTCAAACGCAAAGCTGAGTCATTAAAAGAATGTAGTTGTCATTCGTAATTTTTTTGTTGAGAAGAAACAGAACTGAGATAGGCAATTGAGTTGCATTTTCAGGGGTCGTAAAATATATGAACCACCTCGTTATATGAGTTGTTCAGAAGCAGCGAAACAATTGTTAACGATTGCCGAACGCAAGAAGAAGCTTGGCATACAGACGGGTTCGAAGTTTTATAATCGATTTCAAATATTCATTTTTCCTTCATTACTGTTATTTTTTCCTCCTGTCAACATTGATGACTGTCCATGCATTGTTTTTTGTATTTGTTTTTGTTTCTGTGTGCCATTGGAATACTTGTTTGATGTATTCTCAAGATTTATTGGTTTGTTTGTTGATCTATTCAAATGAATTACACACCGCATTTCGTTGATTGAGAACCGATAGGGTATAAATGCATAGAGGATTTGGAGAGAAAGGATCTGTCTAAAGCGGTGAGTATAGATGTTCCAGAATTTTTTGACGGCGAGAAAAGGCCTCTGGATGCGCAATTATGGCTACTGAATAGTCAGTGTTCAGATTAGTTGAAAGTAGTTTGGAGAGCTGTTTCAAGTGTATTTCTTGCAAAAAATCATGGGTTCATTGAGGAAATAGAAACTTATTGCAACAGAAGGAGAAAGAGAAAACACGATGTGAAGCAATAAAATAAAATAAGGCTTTAACATGAAGCATAAGTCGAATGATTAAATTTTTTTGGCAGAGAAATATATGAAGGGTAGGGTAAATTTGTCTTTGCGGGACGAGAGGGGTGATTATTCGAACAAGCACAATGCATATATTGAGGTAATACGAATGGAAGCCGATCGAGAACTAAACGATGTGCGTGTCAGTCATTAATGAGCGGTTCAGTGGGTAGTTGATTGATCCGAGAATGTCTTTGCGGCGAAGCGAATATTTGTGAGAAATATATTATTGCATGTTATCACATTTCTTTTCCAGCATATTCTCCCGAAACTTGTTGCGTTGGATTGGCGAGAATTGGTTGGGATGATCAAAAGGCTTGTCTTGAACATTCGTTTTACTCATTTCATTTGAGGATCGTCATGCTCATGTCATATCCTCAAATTATATGAGACCAATTCAAACTTGATATTAAGTTTCTTGTATTAGTGTGTTAGTGCACAACATAGATGCGAATTTGGTTTATCGTTGTTCATTCATATAATTATTCATTAAGACAACGTAAAAACAGCAGTAATGATCAGAAATATTCGGTCAAGATTTTTTCGATTCAGGAAAGCTAAAATTTAATTCTGAAGCCGTTCGAAGACGGAAACAAATATAAGCAGTCAAGGGAAGTATGTTGGGAGCGATTAGTATCACAATAAACGTTGCTTTCAAGTTTCATTGCCGTCAGCAAAGCGATGAATGATAATTGTCAAAATCCTTGTTAACAATAAGCGTTCTAAAGTGTTTATGTCGTAGAATTACCATTGTAAAAAACATTTTAATTTGATAATTACAAACTACACTTTTATTGATATTATCTTCATAAATAAGATTACGTATACGGTTGCTTCATATTTTCAGATATTGTTCTGCTCACTAAGCGAAATGTCAAAAACAGATATGGGTGATCCGTTGCATTCATTGGTAATACCTGCCGAAAGGCTGCATCCAATGGAATTAGAAATGCTAAAATGTTTTTCGTTAGCAAATCATTCTATAGCTTGTAGTTCTGATACGTAAAAGTAAATTGCTTGCAATAAAATAAAAGTATATAATAAATCTTATTCATTAATTAGTTGTTGTGCTTCTGTTAAACATGCACATAGTGTTCAGTGAGACGCGTGCAACTTAACGTTTCATTATCTGAATGCTAATTCTGTTTCATTTTACAAACTTTGTTTATTTTGATTGTATGATAATCGGAATACTCTTTTCTTCAATTTAATCAGTGGGAGAATAAATTCCAATGTTTTCAAAGAGTATTTGCGAGATGAGGAGAGCAAATGATTCGGTCGAATTGGAATGTTTAAAGTGGTTTGACGGAGGATGATTCATTGGTGCGAGAAAGTAGTTGGCGTTTTGAGCGAATTTCTGATTTGTTAAAGCGTATGTAAGACCGCCGATGTAACTTGTAAAATATTGAAGTTCAAAATTGAATTCGACATACACTTAAGATTGTGCAGTTGTGTAAGGCCATTGATTGCGGTGAAGCATGCTAAGGGCTTTAAATACTGGACAAGTGCAGAACGCAATGTTCTGCCGATACTCTGGGTAGCGATGTTCATTCAAGGTTCAAGAGAGTGATTCGTCGAGTCCATTCAGGATTGGTAATGAAATACTTCAAAGTGTCTACTGTAGTTGTACATCTCATTCTGTAGCCTTGTGATTTAAGAAGATTTTGGTGTTCCTCATATGAGTTTAATTTGAAACGCAATTACGGTTAAGTACCAAGTGTAGAAGGTAATTTATCGAGACTGTTAGTTTGAGATATTGATCTTAACTTGTTTTTCATTCAGTGCAGAGGTAATATTAATTGTAAGCTAGATTTACGACTGTTGTTGAGAGGAGTTCGATTTTGTTAGGTGAATAAATGAGCAATTAGAAAGAGTTCGAAAATGAAACAAGACGCCTGTCTAAAGAGTGTTGTGTGTTGGCAGTGACATGCACTTGCTGTTTACGGCATGTTACTATGGGGATAATAGCTGAGACGAGATGCGCTTGTGCTCTGTTGCTTTGGATGATTGTTACATAATCTCATTTGAATAGAAGAGTCGGTCGTATTGCATTGGCACATTGCATTCAGTTTCATTTAATATCTGCAACTGTACACGAGGGGGTATCCTTTTCGCATTCTTTTCTTCTTGCTTTATTTGAGCAAATTGTTTCATTGTGATCAACATCGACTGGTAAATTATGTGTATTTACTTACCTCGTCATTGATGCATAAAAAAGTTTAGCTGCTAATTGTATGACGTTTGTGTGAACCGTAATGATACTGGAATCTACTGAAATTTTAAGGTGTCTCTTCGTTTCATCAAGCCGATGTTTCACAATACTTTTCAAAGCGGTCTGTTGTCGATTTTGTACAGTATTGGAAGCAAACCATTACAAATCTGGGAAAAAAAGGCAAGTCATTTCGAGAAATTTGATTCGTAGTGTGAATTTATTGCTATTGTAAGTGGAACGAGGTTTTAGGTGAGAAATGGGCATATCAAACGTATCACGGATGACGAAATACAATCACTTGTCATCGAAATTATGGGTGCTAATGTAAGGTGAGGAATAATTTTAATCAATATCATCAAGTTGAATGATATATAAAGCACTTAAGGATTCACGTTAAAACTTGTTTTTGAGTATCTTATGAGTCCTTAACCAATCTGAAATAACACAAGTGATGAAGTGGAAGGTATTTATAATTTATGCTTCAGTTTAAAATGGCATTAAAATGGACAGGGTTTTAAATTAATCTCAGGCTTTTCCTTGGACTGGAGCTCACATCAAATTTATTCTGAAACCAAAACTGCGGGACTGAGACTCATCGAGAGTTTGTACTGAGGATTGTAGTTTCGGCCTTTTTTATAAATACATTACGTTGAAAGGTACTTGCCTTGAAATGTTTTATGTTTATTTCAGTACCGCCTATATATCATGCCCTTTGGATCCGAAAAAGACGTTAGGCATCAAACTGCCATATTTAGTGATGATTGCTAAGAACATGAAGAAATATTTTACTTTCGAAGTTCAGGTACTGATTGTTCGTTGCCGATCTCACTGTTTTTGATTTTAATGTTCTGATTCAAATCTTCGCTTATTTTTTTACGCCATGTGATTTACTTTTCGTAACAGTTATTTACTAATTGTTCATTGTTGTACAAATATCTGTTTAGAATCAATGAGGGGTTTAATGTTTAGCGATAGGATTCGCAAGGAACATTCAGTCAGATTGATAGGGCTTAAGACTGCGTGATTATTTAAATTGCTTTCGAAAAGGTGTTTTGTAAGCAAATGAGATTAGTTCATAGCAACATTTAGATTTTGGATGATAAAGGTGTCAAACGACGTTTCCGGGCGTCGAATTATCAGTCAAATACGCGTGTGAAGCCGTTCATTTGTACGATGCCGATGCGATTGGATGATGGATGGAATCAAATCCAGTTCAATTTAGCGGATTTCACCAAACGAGCTTATGGAACAGGATATGTTGAAACACTTCGAGTTCAGGTAGCGTTTGTTTCGTACTCTTCTCTCTTCTTCTTTTCATCCCATCTGTTTTTGTGACGGGTTGTATGTTTCAGCTACAGCTGTATATTTCTGTTGTCGGAACAGTATGCATAGGATGAAGCTCTAAGTCTTTTTTTCCCTCCCGTACTCCCTACAACAATAGTTGTGTCGTCGCACCCTTAACAACATCCACTTTGTATTTCTCATCCACTCCAACGAGTATCTGTAATGTAGTTAAGTATATACCATTACAGTACGTTCCAGCCGTTTCAAAAATTCATACGCTAATGTCCACCCTTGACTTATTTATACGTTGAAATCTGCACTCGACTACTTTCATGTATAAGAAACGAAATGTTATCTGGCACCCCTGGAATACTATCTCGCATCTCCAAGGGGTGCGAGCATCCCTCGTTGAGAAACCTTGCTCTAAGCTATTTGTATTAAGGAGAGCAAGTGATTGGGTAAACAGAACTTGATTCTAGTGATGCGAGATGATTTCAAATTTTATTCGTTTGTTTATCTTGGATCAGTCATTTCTTCATTCCTTCCTCAAATTTGCAGTTTCGGATTGTCTGGTTTCCGCACACCTGTTTTATTCACTTATTGAAAAATCATGATAAGAAAGTTGTTTAAAAAAGATTCAAATTGACCCAGGTAAATTAAATGAATCGAATAACTTGATTGCTTAACTTAGTTGTGCTGAATATTCAGATTCATGCAAATTGCCGCCTTCGTCGGGTTTATTTCGCTGATCGACTGTACGCCGAAGATGAATTGCCAGCCGAATTCAAATTGTATTTACCGATAAGAGCAAATCTGAACCCGTCCGCTGCGGCTGGTTCATCACCGGGTGAAGATGAACCCACATTAGCTTCTTAATCTGAAATTTGTTATCTGAATCCTTTGTTGTTGTGATTTGATATGTAAACTTGTGTTCTACTCAGATGATAGCCAAACAGTTGCTAGCTGCTTGCATAGTGCAGCCAAATTATGAGATTTTGCAACTGTCCGTGTGCAACTAGTAAGTTACAAGGTTCATATACTGATAATAATATGTAATGATAATGTTATCAGTTTCACAGAAACGATCGGAGTAATTACTATCTGTATTTCTTCCAATACGAGGAGAATTATTGATAGTGGTTTATGGTTCGGTCCTTATGATTTTCAATTTGCACTTGTCGATAGCTTATGAAGTGTACTGAAATGAGTACTTTATCGAGAAATTGAAAATGCAGTAAAGAAAAGAAGCAAATGAATTGTAACCCAACTTAGATGTGACAGTGTTACAACTCAATTTTAATGGAAGAAGTTGCACGAATTGTTGACCACTTTTGCGGTACTCTCCATAATGCAGTCGGATAGAAGGTAGAAGAAGAAGCGCGCCACTTTATTATCATGTTACAATTGGGCATTTTCTTATGCATGTCAATCTGATTTCACTCGTTAATTGAATGTTGATCGTGATCTATGACGTATCTCGACTGATCTTTTCATTTTCAATTATTATGAATAACCATATATGCATGTTTTTATCCGATGAGTTTGGTTAATCTTGTTCATTGTTTTGATCAGCTCGAAATATATATATATATATGTTCATATCTTGTACTATTTTGATCAACTCGGAGTATATATAATAGTGATCTCGGTTTTGTCATCTTTAGTTTCAGGTATTGTTTGGAATTGAATAAATTGTCAAAAATAATCGTTTGGTACTCGTGATCCATCAATTTTCGTTCCATTTACGGCTTATTACTACCGTGCTATTACCAACTTTTTCATTCCTCTTTTCTCCTCTTTTCTTATCAACTCTCCTTTGCCTTTACCAAGCTGTGCACAGCGTTGGTTGTTGGTTAATTTTCAGAATGAGACTAATTCGATGTTTCGAATTGTTTATATTCTTCATTTTTTGATCACCCTTTTATAGTTTCAGAGTAAATTCGTTCTGATCCTGATTGTTTTAAAGAAGCGGTGATCAACTGTTTCGAAAATGGAACGTTTGAAGCCCTTTGAAGATCTGGATAAAGATTATTACTTGGATGATCACGCTGGATGGGGCAGTGATGGTTACGAGAATTGCGACAGTGACAGGTTATTTGATGCGTTATGGTGTGATTGTTTGATCCTAGCATGTTTACAATTCTTGAAAGTGATGTTTCTGCATGTCTCTCATCCCACTTCCCTAACCGGAATGCATTTCTGGGCAGCTTTTAAACTAATTTACATGGTCTGTGCTGATCTGTTTCGCTTCTCGTTTTATGAAGCACTTTATGTGAAAAATTTTTGGCCTCATCAATTGGGTTGCCTTTGAATGCGTTTCTTTTTAGCTCAACTGATGAACCACGTGAAGAAATGAAGTCGAAATCCAGTGATGTTCTTTGTCCTGATTCAGGTATTCATCAAGGTTCGTTATCGTTTCTTTTTTGAATGTTGATAAGCATCACATTGTTTCAGAACAAAGATGGTTAAATTAATGAGCACATCAAATGCTCTCTCAGACTATACGAACAAATAAAAGCAAAGTTTGTCTTCTTTTGTTGAGTTGAGGAATAAAAGATTGCGGTTCATACAGCGTATGGTGGGTTTGTGAAGGCATCATTCGGTGTGAGCTTCATGCGTGTAATGAAACAGTGAGTGCAGATCTGTATATTTTCTTCTAGGTAATGAATAATTTCAATAAAACTGCAATGAGTTATCCTTCAACCGAATAATAGTACATCAGACACGACAGTGTATTACTTTCCATATCAAACTTCATTAACTGGAATCAACAAGTGATAATGTAATATCATGAGTTTGTTGGCCGTCATTCCAAATGAAATAATGAAGATGTGAACGAGAGTGATGAAATGTCCTAGTTAAGGTGTCAGCAGCAAAAATGACGATAAATGTCAGATGCGTGATGAATTTGAATGTGATATGGATAATGAACTTAGTGAACAACTTGTTGCACATGTGTCACACTTCATGATACAATCAGAAACGCAATCGATTTGTCACAACACTCGTTCGTTATTCTTTCCAATCCAATTGTTATTTCTTTTTTTTAAAAATTATATGTTTTATCTAAAATGCTACCTTGAATGCTTGAATGGTGGAAGTCCTAAAAGAGTGTTATCAAGAAACTGCAGACATCATGCGAGGAACGTGGATTTCATCTCTCTATGATGATTTCCTCTTCTTGCATTGATTTATTGATTGTGTCCATTCCAGAACAGTCGAACACCATTCAATCAAGCGACATGGATGAATGCAATGCGACTATGAAGAAAGATGATGATATTGGCAGTATTCATCCTCTTGGCTTGAAAGCTGAAGAAACCTCCAATAGAGGTGCGGAATTCATATGTGCATTTTGGATTATTAGATACATTTTAGCGCATATGTATTGGATTGGACAGATGTCGAAATGGATCCAGATAGCCACTAACCTCATCTGAAGTTCTTTACTGTTTATGCCGTACTTTATTGACGATAAGTGATATTGCGGTCATACTCATTTTCAATTTTTAAACTTAACAAATAGTTGTCGTCGTAGATAATAAAAAGATGGAATTAGGATTCTAACTCGATCAAGAATTTATAACAACATGTGCGTTTTTCCAGAGAAATGTCACACAAAATGCAGCACTTCAGCGAATGAAGTCACTGACAGTTCGAATTCGAAGAAAACGGTTGGTTATCCAATTAGAAGATGTTTATTTATTTTTTTAAAATCATTATTATTATTATTTATTAATATTGGTAATCCTTATTATTGTTAATCATTATTGTTGGTAATTCTTACCGTTGGTAATTCTTATCGTTAATTGTTATTATTGCCAATAATAATTATTATTACTTAGTCTCATTGGTAATTATTATTGCTAATCATTATTGATTATTATTAATTCTTAATTATTATTATAATTAATCATTATCATTATAAACTACTCCCATTATCGAAGCAGTAAGTATTAAGCCAGTAAAATGCTCAGTAGAAGCGTGTTATCGAAAAAAGCGTATATGTTGTTCAGAGAAAGATTTTGCTCTTGAAGGTATGCTTCAAAGAAGGACCAGATGAGGTATTTGGTCACAATGACGACAGCGTTGCGATACCCGTTTTGAATGATAGTGCTGCAGATGGAGCACTCCGTAATACTGCTGATGCAGATTCCAGTTCCGCTTATAACGACAAAAATAATCTGTTGAAAAAATTAGCTGATAAGGCGATGATGAAGAATAAGAGGAAGAGACAAGAAGGTCAAAACAAGAAAGAAGTTGAGAATGATGAAGATGTGCAATTTTATGATCCAAATGAAGATGACGACAATGAGCTTTGGGTGAGTATCTTTCCTAGTCTATTTTAACATGATATTTCAGTAAAATGCTGAAAGTAATAGGATAAACCAATTTTTGCAGAAAGTGGCGATGCATTGAACACGTGGTATTGTGACTGATATTGAGTATAGTTTCTTGCATCAGAAGTAGAGAGGAATTGTTCATTTGTTCGTTCTGGATGTTCAGAGTAAATGAAAGCGATTAGTATTGAAAGTGTGAAGTTCTGTTCATTTCATGGTTATTCTATCATAACGATACAGTTTGTTTACATTCAAATTCAAAAACAGTATTGAATTGTATGTACGTCATGGGGTGTGATTAGCAATCACGATGATACTCCTTCATACCTTGGACTATCTGTATGTAGTCCATTGTTTTATTTTCTCGTGGTACTTTCAGTTACAACATTCAATTTCGCTTATTTAACTTCTGTTACGGTTCTCCTTTTGTTTCGTTTTTTTTCAGAAATTTAACGATGTTTCAATTGCTCAATCACCACTACTGAGATGAGGTTGTGTGTGGAAAATGGTAGTATTGATAATGATCAATGAGTCGTCTTGTTGTTAAGGTAGAGGAGCATCGTAAACGTTTGGGAATGTTACCAATAAGATCGACACGGGACGAATCGACTTCGAAAGAGCGAGAAAAGAAACTTGATGATGATACAGATGCGGTGTTGTCATGTCCAGCTTGTCTGACTTTATTAACTAGGCAATGTCAAAGACATGAATTCTATCGCGATCAATACAGGTATGGATGTGCTACATGCATTTATTTTTGTCCCGTTAATTATGAATGTGATGACAATCGTTAGCAATAAACATCTGAAATGAGTATTTGACAATTCTGTTGATCGGTGATCTCATTTTAAGAGCGGTATTCGTTGAAAATTGCAAGGTTATCGGCGAAGAATCGTTGTTTTTGCCCGAAAGTAGTGCGAGAAAACGAAAAGGAAAAGGCAAGGAAGCGACAAAGTGTACAGCAGGTATTGTTTGCTTTAGTTCGCTGTGAACTGATCATTTCAAAATTCATTCCCCTCTGTGTATGTTGACTGTGAATGAGTTAATGAATTAGGCATGATAATTTTTGTTTCATTCGCCAAAGAAGTAAAAAAAAATTTAGCCATACTTCCAACTTTTTATTCACCGACCTCATTTCAAATGCCTTAAGCATAGCCGCATTAGGTATTAATGAGTTACGTAATATTTTCAAAAGTTTTGTATGTAACGTCAGCGTTGATATTAATGTCTTTAAGAAGAACAACCGAAACCATATACGCTGGTAAGTTCATCTGAAGCAGCTAAGCTTGGACGTGACGATTTATTTCATCCAGTTCAGTGCGCGATTTGTTCCACGGCAGTCGGTGTTTATGATGCAGAGGAAATCTATCATTTCTTTAATGTTCTTACTGGTTACGCATGAAATGGATTGTTCTGTATATGGTTCTACATCGAACGCTTACCTCACAAAATATTTCTATGTGTACTATCTTAATGTTGCTTCGTAATACGTTATTATTATGGATAAAGAAGAATAATTGTGACAACAAAGTAGCGAACTTTCAAAAATGCAACGATTATAAGAGTGGCGTAGTTAGAATTCCCGTACACCTCAAAAAATGGAGATATAAGTCGCAATCACTAACTGAATCTAACTTACGATTAGTAATGCATTTTGAAATGATATAACGATGCATTTCCACAATTATCTAACAGAAAAATGCATATTTCACCAAATTTGCATGTGCATTAGCTTGAAAAAAAAGTTCAAAGGGTTTTCAAATGTAATTTGTGTAGAAGACATCACGAATTGTGTGAAGTGAAATGATGGCCTTTTGTTTTTCTACCCGTTGACTGGTTCTGGATATGTATCCAAGAAACATGTTGAAATGAAGAAGTCGGAAGCATTAAGACGAATTTTTATTAATTGACTAGTAATTGGTGATTGTAATAATATCGGAGTATGAGGGAAGTTTTGCGATTGAGTTCTGCTGATATGACTGGGACAATGTCGATCAAATTGAGTGAAGAAGAGACTTATTTTGGATGGTTTGGTAACAATGACTATTATCTGGGACAATCTAATCTGTTTCCGCTTAAATGACTTTGATGATCGCCATAAAATATGCCTCAAGACGGCTGTAAGAGGATGACCATTCAATAACAACTGTTCATCTATTTATCTTGTCGCTTTCAAAAAGTTTACATCGAAAAGTGGCATAATGAGGGCGTGAACGACATTCCTTCTCTTTCAGAAATTTGGTATCACACTTTCTTGTAGTCTGCTATGATACATTTGAAAGCCTTTGTTTTTGACCAACGATGCGATATTGCTTTGTCGGTTTTCAAACTCACCACTGCACTTTGATGTGTTCATAAATGTTTTGATGCTACCTTGGACTACTTTCCATTCAGTGACGGCTAATTTTCGAATGAATAGAATGTTGTTGGAGTAGGATGGTGAAGAAGTCAAACACTAGGTACAGAAGATCAACATGGTGAACGTAGTAGAAATCATAATTTAGTCAGTAAAAGTTCTATATGCAATAACATCGATTCTGGCCTAAACTTTGAAATTTGTTAAACGAAGTTTCAATTTTTACTGATTAGTACTTATCCAGTCTTTGTAATCAGTAGCATCCGCGTCACAACAGGATAATGATGGGATGGTGTTAACTTGCGGTTTTTTTTTGATGTCTGAAAGAAATAGTGAGAAGAAAGAGGCAATGATACCATTCAACAAGTGCCTCTGACTTGAAAGAAATATTGGAACTCTTAGCAATCATTTTCAGTTCGAGAACGCATTTTCAGGTTGTGAACATATCGCTATCAGATTATGGCGGTGAAGAGAATTTTTTTGGAGCAGCATTTCCGATCCTTAACTTCGGAGTAAGAGTACCTTGATTCTGGTTGAAGCACAGAAATTAAATACGTTTTAGTAAATAGGCAATTATGAGTGAACATCTAGTAACTAAAGCATGTACGAATCTGTACGCATCAAGGATAATTTTTCAACGGATTATGGCTATTTTCCGCCACTTCTAAAGCAATTCAACGAATTTACAGTCGAATGCTAATGATGTATTATTAAAGCATTCCAGTGTCAGATCAAAAGCGCACCTCTTCGTATCAACCAAAAAGCAAACAATTTTGCACTTCTTTGATGACCAAAGTGCAAATTGCAAGAGGATATATGCGCTTTTTCTATTGATTTTGCTTTAAAGTGCTCATAAACACCATATTCAAGTGATTCAAGCGCTCAACTTTCTATTATCATCTCAGTCGAACAGTTTTGAAGGATCCAATCAGTTTCGATCAATGCCATCACTGAAAAAGAAAACATTACCTGGTTATTTACATCTATCAGCCAACTTTTCGTCAAGTTGAAATTTTATTCTTCGTCAACATTTTCATGTGATGAAACTTTTTGAAATTGCGACTGCATTCAGACAAGCTCAATGAGCCCACAACCTATGGTAGATTTGTAGTGGTTACGTTCAATGTAAAAATACAAGCTGCCTGTATGATCAGAAAGGGTAAGGAGAGGGAAGGAGGACTATAAGAATGTTGATGACTGATTGCAGAATATAAGCGTTACGAAGCTCCAGTGGATGAAAACTTTATCCAATAAAACTGTTTTTGGTTACAGATGTGATACTAGATGTTTACATCAGTGGTCCCCACGCCTGGTTGCTGCATTATTCCCTTCGATAGTCCGGCAAGCTGTCATTGCCCCCGCTCGCTACAATACCTTACTGTTTCCATGCATAACGTCAGAACTAATTTCTCGACTTCCTCCATTACCCCTATGACACCCCCAAATTTCCCAAAAATGGGTAATTTTCCTCCATATGGGGACCCTGGTCTACAAAACGGAATGAGCTAGTGGTGTGCATTTCAAGTTTTGCATCTTTCTGTTTCAAAGTTGAAACTATCGAATTTTTCACTTTCACCGGAAATTATCTGACATTTCAAAGCTGAGATGAAGTTAGCAACGCATCGTCGATTAAAACGTTCTCAGATGAGCTACGGATGATAAAAGCCATCGACCAATGAGCATTAATGAAATGAAAGAGTGATATGAACTTAGCAAAATTATAAAAACTATCAAAGATTATCTGATTGTGAAATGAAGAAGCAACTGTTCTATTTCATAAATCATTCATTTGCTCATTGTTCTGTTACATAGTTTTATTCATCCAGTAAATAGGTATTCAGTGATAAATACTATTGATTCAGATGGCAATAAAGGCCTTTGTTATCTTATTGACTCTTTAATTAATAAGTTGGCTTTGAATTCGAATTCCATCTAATTTGGTACAGCTTTAGTCGTTCGTTCGTTCGTTACCTCAATGGACCTATCAATAAGCGATATATCCTTTGATTAGGAACCCAGGAAGATGTAGCATTTTCCTGAGTTGGGGAGAGAGGGATCCATTTAGAACTTGGGGCTTCATATTGATAGGATTGTAGATTGCTCAGAATTTTTGAGGGCGGAAAATGGACTGTAGGAAACCTGAAAAACACATGAACAAAGCTGCTGAATAGTAAGGTGTAAGACAGCTTCACCTGAATTTAAAAATTTAAAAACTATTTTGACCGTAACGAATCACGACTTTAGGCATGAGCTGAACGTGGGACTGAGTTGGTTTTTCTTTTATTAGGTGGGTCTATTCAGGAGAGGAGTTATTTGAGTGAATAAGATATATTCAGTACGGTATTGCTTGAAAAACTGTTTCTAATTCATTAATAAAATTTATGTCTTAATTGTTATACCACTGAGTTTGTTCGCGTAGTAATGTTTCGAATCAATCGTTCGCTGAATGCTCATTATGAGATCATAAATTCTCGTAGTTTACTTTCAGTTGTTTATTTTCTGCAAGTGATTTGTTTGCCGTGTTCAATTATTTATTGTTCAATTGTTTTATCTTAAAATTTATGCTCGAATGCACAGCAGTCTTTTTGCTAGAAGTCTAATTTAACCGATCGTGTGATGCAATGTTCGTTTAATCCTACCGATGAGAATTGAGGAAGTTCAAAAGAATCAAACGAATATCTAAATAATGCCAATACAATAACATCACTGAACAATGCCCCGCACTGCCGATCGGATCGCAAATCATTTGAATTTATTTCGATCACATGATGATTACCGATCATCAACTCGTAATCTTATGGTGATGCGGTCGAGGAATAGTGAATCTGAATCATCTGGATTGATGAACACACCAACAACATCACCACCTGGATGGCAATCACCTTATACGTAACTGAATTGATGTTGTGCTCTTTTCTCCTTCACTACCTTCAGTAGTATCGTTTTTAAATGTCGCATAGGTGATGATACCTACCAAATAAATTCTTTTTCGAGTTAATTTCGCAAAGGTCATTTTGGATTCGAAAGGTACTGTTTTAAGGGTTGAGACTAGCATTTTCCGAGAAAAAAATTTCGGTTGAAATATATATGTGTGCGGTTTGTGCGAAGCATAACATTTTGATCAACACAGAAGAAAGTAACGCAAAAGGGCAACTGTAAGACTCTTGTATTATATGATTTACGAACAAACTGGGATAAGTTACTTATGTTCTCACAGCAAAATATGGTCGACAACAATCAAAAATTAAGTGGTATTTCAGTTGCGCTAAACGATTGTCATTTGACGATGCACTGTCAGCCAGAACATTCGTATCATTAAGAGCTGATGAGGAAGGTAATGTTGTTATGGAGAAGGAGCCATTCATGATAGCAGTACTTGAAAGTGCGAATGTGGATGGTACTCGCCACCTAAATTCACCGAGTAAACTTACGAGGTATTTTTTCACAGTTACTCTGAGATCAACCATACTATGCGCTGATCCGCACATTAGTGATGACAAGCAAGAAATTGTTTGCGCATGTTCCATGGGTTGTACTCAGTGAAGATTCACTGGTCATATTCAAGCAGTGGTCTGGTCTTCTCCCGGATTGCTGTATAGAGTGGAAGAAAATTTAGGGGGCGCAGAATTATCAGCATGGAACATTTTTATATCAAAAATTGAAACTCAGCAATATAAACATTCTGGCATTCAAATTTTGATTGTTAGTCGAATTGTTCAAGCAGATAGTGGAAGGGAGCATATGAATAGGCATATGAATAGTCATATTGACATAATTAATAACAACAGAAATAGTGATAAAAGTAAAGATATTAATACGAATAATACTACGATAACAAGAACAACTACGAAAATGATAATCATAATATTAAATAAAACTTTTACGCATTTGCATTATCATCACCATCCCACAATCATCATCACCATTACCCAAAACCAACACTTATCTTTCTAGGTATATGTGGACTGCTATCATAGTAGTATTTGTGTTCTTAGCCGCCGTTCAGATCTGGAGACAGATTGTGATGTACATAGAAACGCCAGTGGCAACGAATATTGAGGCGTTTTATCCTGAGAAATTGCCATTCCCAGCTGTTGCAATTTGCAACAACAATCAGTTTCGGTGAGAGTGTCAGCAGCCAGAGACTTTGTTCCATATTTCAGTGGATAAGTGTTACTACTTGTTGAAACATTCTTCACATTTTTCATTTTGCTATCACTGATGCAGTTTTGCATGAATTTTNTGGAGCATTTTTAACACCGTGCCGAACTACACCGATCATTTTGAATCTGATTGTAAGTGAGCAGTAATTTCACAGTGTTATCTCACAGTTAGAAATATTCCATTCCAAAAATATTTAGTCATTTCGAAAGCGACTAGACACATGCGAATTTTAGAGCTTGCTATTGAGAAAACGGCAAACAAAATTGCTTCCAACTGTTCAGAGAAGTGAAAAAAAAGATGAAGTTCTCTGTCTCACATTATCATTTTATTATTTTCAGACTTACCTACCTCACAGGCCCTTTAATTCAAAATCGACGAGCCAAAGAAATGCCAGCTGATGAAAATAATATTAACGATGCACTCATGCGAACAAAGTCAAAGGTGGATGTTGTAAATTCAACTGTATTTGATCAAGTAATCGAAAGAGCATGGGATATGGATGCGGTGAAATTCCTACGGAACGCAGCGCATTGGAAATCACGAATGATCCTCCGGTTTGTTGAGTTCTCTCATTACTCTTATTGCTAAGGGATCTGATTTAAATACGGCTTACCCACCGATCAAAATCTATCATATCAAGAACTTTTGGTGCAGCATTTTCCTTGAACGTATGCCCTCCTTTGAATATGACCTTCCTTTGAATGAAACCCACTTCTGTATCTCTCGAAAAGCTGCAAAAAATATAGCCGTTGAATAAAACCTTCTGATCGAATGAAACCTTTTCTCCTAACTTGGATTCACTTGTCAAACAGCAGTTCCGTTGCGAACGCCAACAAAATCTTGGAAGGTTGATGTTGTGAAGAATAAAATCTGCCATTCTCAAATAAAGAATCCCTTTCTGACTGAAAACATCTCGACGAAAAACTGAAGTTCCAGGATTCATTTCATTATGATGAATGCTATACATTCAATACGCTGTATAGCATTCATCATAACATTCATCACTGGTGCTCATGAGTAATTCAATTTATTTCCACTAATTGCCATCAAATTTTATACTCAGAATTTGTGTACCATGATTATTCCTCGTGTAGCATTGATACTGATCGTTTCTAAAGTAGGTTTTAGAATTAGAGATCAACGCGACTCATTCGAGCGATTTGAGTTCATTTGATTGGTTTGGTTTGCAGGTGCACATGGCCGAATGGTACCAGTTGTCGTTTGTCAGATTTTAAAGCTGTATGGACTTTGACAGGATTGTGCTGGGCAATCAACACAAATGCTCAAAATCCGCATTATATTTCATCAAGCGGTATTCATATTCATTGCTGACATTGTGCATGTTTTTCGAGTAAACTGTATCTTTTTGGAATTTTCAAAACATCTCAATGATTTCTACATTTGTATTTTCAAGGTAGTGGCCACGGCTTACGTTTGTTACTGAATATTGAGCGCTATGAACGAGTTGAAAGTTGCACACCAAAATTTCGAACGATGAGTTTACCCGGTTTAAAGATTTTGATTTACAACCAAACAACCATCCCCGAATCATCTTTAAGCGGTGTCAATGTTCCACCTGGTTATAGTATGGATATCCCATTTCGGATACAGCATGTCAGTTGCATAACTGTATAGAATTTGTATTGTCGCAACAGGATGTTACATAAGTTATCCATAGATGTTTTGTTTTGAGTTTGCCATATATCATAAAATCGCTTCTGAGAGAATTGCACCCCGAACAATAACTCTCCCAATAACTTTTCATTGAAAATTTGCTCAACATTGTTTTGTGTAAAAAAACATTTTGAGGAGCATTCTCAATATCCTGTTCTACATCTTCATTGAGTGAATATTAAATTAGTAGCTTCTTTAAATAGCTAGTTTCACTAGTACCGTATAACCAGCTTTGCCATTCCATGAATTATATAATTTTAAGCATTCATGTAAATTTATTTTCATCCAATATGTCCACATTATACAGAATTACTTATATATCGCATCAAAATCAAATGGTTCATGAGTGATCATTCATGCTGAAACAAAGTGACTTCAGCGTTCAAAGATTCCCGGTATGGGTTGTATTCAAATGAACGATCAACAAAAAGGGAATGCTTTAGCATTTGATGATCCACTCAACGTGCATACGTGCTCAATCAGGAATTTCTTAAGGGAGATTGAAAGAAGCTGCAATTGTTCAATGCGGAGAGCTTACAATCCGAACATAAATGGTGGTTTGTTATAATTGTTTAGTTTTTATATGAGCCAGGCGCGTTCCAATCATTTCTGTTACGAGCATTATTCCTTTTTCGGATTGATTTCATTTTTCACCTTTCCATATCTAATTTTCTTCTGTTCCAAGGAATAGAACAGAACAGTTCCAGAAATAGAGCAGCCTAACTGGAATAGAAACATCACTAGTCTTGCTACAACAGTGAAAAATGCAACTTGTTGCGAAAAGCAGATGTTTAAAGTATTTTATGCACTCATTTGAGATGGTGATTACAGTTCACCAACAGCGATACCTAACTGAAAAATTCCGTGCAATTCTTCAAACATAATTTGTAAGTTCGTAGTGCCGCTGCTTACTCTCCGTAAAAAATGCAATTTTTGGATGTAAAACTTTTAAAAACTGGATGGAAGGTCATTGGTCTTGTGATCATTACTGCCACTATTACTCTTAACTTATAACACCACTTATGTCGTTTTCGCAGTAGCTGTCTTGGGTGAACTTTAACTTGAGTGACTTTCGTAGTAAGAAGCTGCTATCTTGTGTGATAAATGTCAACATTACAGAGAAGAATCACAATTTAATGAAACTTTCAAATGTTTTCCTCCGAATGAATATTGTTCAATTCATTCTCACGATAATTAGTACTATTTTTTGAGGTGCTTATGGATTCTGCAATGTAAAACAATATTTTGGTTGCGTATCCTCAATAATCAAAGGAAAAACTGAGTTCGAAAAGGATAAGTTCAAATTAAAATGTGTCAATGATTGTGAGCAGATAGATTACATTGCATGGCAGGATATGAATTTATTACCGAGCAGTATATTTCCATCACTTATTGATACAGCTGAAGAGGAAGACGTCGATGATGTGCTTGATAATGAAGATGAAGAGGTAATAATGCTCTTTTTGCTTTTTCATCTATTATGCCTTTTATCCTGCTACGTTTGCCTAGCAGTCATTTTTGTCTTATTAAGCTTGCCATTTTTAACGATTGAACAACTTATAACGGTAATGTTCACATTCAGTGATTGTATTATTGAAGGAAAACGCTTTCTAATTGCCAGTAGAATGTGTAGAATAATATTGTTACACATGTATGATCATTCCAACAATAAGACCACTGGCTGAAAAACTCAAAATAAAGACGAAAGAACAATTTGTTATTTTTCAAAATGAGTTTTTTTAGTGGAAGTTCCTGGAAGATGCTAGTAAGGATGAATTGTTCCAATGTGAAGAAAGTCAACTGCTCTCTGAAGAACAGGTAATTTATCAAATAACTGCATCATGTGAATAAATTTATGATCAATATCGCTTAAGCAAGAGAAATTATTTGTTTGTTTACAAGCTGTTGTTGTTAATATCAACGATGAATAATAGAATGCAGCAGGAAAGCTATTTTTTTAATGCAACTGTATCAGTGCACCCGATTTTATCACTCTCCAAACATTGCCATTCATCCTTGTCACCTTACTGACTCTGCTTGAGGAAACAAATGAAAAAATTCAAAGCATCACATCTATGCCTGCATATTAAGGTGAGACAGATCAAGAGGTCTGCACAACGAGCCTATGAGAAGCAATCACGATACCAAGAGGATATTCAACTTCGAACGAAACGACTCATTGATAAATTACGAAATGCAACTCAAAAGTGAGTAGTAGTGATAGATTTAATTCATCTTCCCATTTGGCTTATCGTTTCAATTCACAAAAGTCTCAAAATCTATTTGCTGTTACGGAATATCACATGACAATAAGCGCACCACTACATCAGCCTCGCGGCAAACCCATTTAGCAGTATCAATCGTTCAGAAGTATCGCCATTACTTAATTATTTCATGCATCTATTTTCATAGAAGTACTCTAAAGATGAGTTCGTTTGCTCATTTATTACTTCGTTCAATGTAACCGTTGATAATGAGGGATTATTACGCGCCACTTGCACATTGCACAAGTCACGATCCTCATCAAGACAGCGAAAGAATGCGTAGTTTCGAATGAAAGTGCATGATAGGTCACATACTGAGGACTGACTCGCCATGATTCATTTCGTTGTTTTTTGCTTTTGATTCTATTAGCTTGCGTCATGTAAGGACACTTTACTTGTACTTTATTGAAATGATGAATGAAGATTTGATGAAATGATCTATCAAACTTTCTGTGTCTTTTAAAGTCTGCTCCAACTGCGATGGGGATGGACTGATAAAACGTACCTTGGTGCGTATCAACGCCTTAATACATCACTGCTATGCTACAGTAATATGGCTGCAAACCATAAAGAAATGTCCACTGCAATCAGCAATGTGCCTGTAATCAGTGAACAACGAAGAACCTCAAACATTTTTCGGGTTAATTTAATTGAACAGTTCATGAATATGTAAAAATGAGTGTCGCTACACCACTCGGTTTCGTGCAAACCTTTCTTCTGCGGGCGCTAACCGAATTCATGAGTTTGGGAATCCAACGTGTGGGTTCGATTCCCAATTGTGGCAGAAAGTTTTGCTCGACACTAAGTGGTGTGCTAATGGCATTTACTTAGCTTGTAAATAATTATCTATTCATGTGAATGAATGATTATATGAATAAAAGATGCGTGATAGATATGCGTATATTTTTCATGTCTATGCAGTTGCTTTCGCCGAAAACACATGAACGCAATCCAGAAAAATACAAAACATTAGCCGAGCTACGACAAGTATATGGTGAACGTGTGGATGAAATAATAAAAGAATCGCAGGCGATTGGCGATATTGTTGAGGCGTTTTGGAGAATATATAGAAAGGAGACATTCACATCGACATTAGGCGTTAATCTCGATCGAATGGACACAATTTTGCAACTGACTGATGCGGTTAGTTAAGTCATATTACGGCGTGGCACGCCTCGTATGATTATTTTCCTGATATCCGACAGCAATTTTTAGATTTAACTTTAACTTTTTCAGTATGAATTGGGTAAGCTGCAGCGGCGTGCATGGGCTGAAAAAATGCAATCACGTAATATGAGACATTTTTTCGATCAGGATTTTTATGAGGTTCGTACGTTTGTTATTTTTATGCAAGATTTAGACAAAAAGGATGAAGATATAATTTCATAGATTTTGATGGTTCCATTTATTCTTCTTTGTTGACTTTCCTTTTTCTCTTCTATTTTTTCAGAAAATGTCTCTTAGCTTTTTACAAACGTTTTAAGAGAAAAGATGCCAAAATTTCCATATATGAAATTTCCATTATTCTATTTTCTCGTATGATGGACACTCTAATCAAGCCTGCTGATACGTGATACCTTCAGTTGATCAAAACGCATTTGATTCATCATTAAACTTAAGTCCTCGTCGCGCTCTCCCACCATCATTAACGACCTTACGTGTGCTTTGTTCACTTTCATAATTCTTAGGCATACGATGAAACTGACTACGGCAGCAATGAATATGCTTATAATTATTAAAATGATTTGTGTAACCCAACTCCATTTCTCACATTCAGCTGTACACTGAAATGCGTGTTTCTTCTTAGTAATAAACAGAAAACGAATTACTTCAACTCAGTTGACTGCATTCTTAATAGCCTAGAATTTTATTAGTACTGTATGGAACTTATGCTTCGAATTGCAGAGAGACCAGAACACGATCGAGGAGTAACAATAGGGTTTTTAATGGGGAGGTCGGATAAAAATTTCTCGAACAGTGCACCGTGAAGTTGTCTCGGTCTTCGGGTATTTTTGAAAGATAACACTGGGAAACTGTTATGATTCAATACTTTTCCGTCTCATCAACAATAGTAAAAGCTGGGTCGAAATGTGATACGGTCGAAAAAATGCGAATTACAGCCCAAAGTTCGAAAGTTGAGTTTCGGGGCTGAAATCGGAACTGAACTTCTGTCAAATTCAGAGCTGGAGTCAAAGCTAGAATTAAAAAAAGCAGAACCGGAGCTGGATTGACTTCTTCCAAATTATCACTACCCAACAGTCGTATCACTTATGGGATGATGAAACCAATAGAATGTAACGTTATAGGTAACTGGAGAGCAAGCCAGTAAAATAAAACAACAGTTTTGCTCGACTCATGCGCGCGAGTATGAGCAGTGAGTGAGGAGGATGAATATCGGTTACCTTAAAAATGAGCAGCTCAAAGACCTCTTTTGCGCACGTGAGCAATGTGCGAGCTGCATCTGGTTTGGTGAGCCGTTCATTGATGATCAAAGTATGACAGTTCTGATGCGGTCACATTTCGACCCCATTTTTTGTGGCCACACTTGCTTTTAGAGGATTGCTTTAGAGGTGTGGGGGTGAGAGCAGAACAATGGTATAATTCCATCAGGAAATTGCTTGACTGATTTGAAGTCGAAGCAGGCTAAGTTTCGGTCAGCAATTGCACGTGATCCTTGTCCAGCAGTTTCTCTAATTTCGATGCTCTCTTCATTTCGGTTATTGATGCGTTCGCAGCATTCCTGCTTTCCAGTGATGAATCTTTCAAACTCTAGTCACTACCAGAGTTTACTATTCTTCTTATTCACAACTTCAAATATATCGTATGAATTCAACAAGCTTGCTCTTGGCCGTTCATCCGTTGAAGTTGTTTGCGCTTCATTTCCATCACTCAACTCATTCTCGTGTGCGCAAAATGATTGCTTCGTTTCACTTTTACAACCGTTCATCTGAACGTTCAATAATAGTATATGTCAAAAGTGAATGGAAATAAGTACTCGAATCGCATTGGAAATTTTGGTGCGATAACTACGAGTGTGATATGAAGTTATTTCACAAGATTTCAGGGATGGTACAATCCAACATTGAAGGACTTCGATCAGGTTCTGGTTCGAAACATTATTAATATCGAAGAAAATGATTTACCGTTTCTTCTGAATTCAATTCAGAATGGTACTGGCCTGCAGGTATAACATTATCATTATCATGTAATACTCATTATTGTTACCAACTAAATTGTTTTTCGATTCACTGAGTAACATATTTTGCAATATGATGAAGTCTGGTTTGGTGCAACATTGCAAAGCAGTATTGATAAATGGCTAGTTGAACTTCACTTATCATCAGCAACGGTAAAGTGAGCATTGAAAAATCAGCATTAGGACAGAATGAAGCAGAAGTAAACATTGGAAAATTGCAAAGGGAAAAGGAAGGATCTGAAGATTTTGACTTTTTTAAATAAGAGGAAAGATGAGTATAACATCATCTAAACATTTCTGGCAAGATCGATACGCAATTTATTATCCATTTTGTTGAGTTTAAGAATTTTTAACTCAATTGAAGTTGCCTTATAATAAGTTCAACTGTTGTTTAGATCGCATCTGTATTATATTTTGGAAACGTAAGTCAAGAGCATATGAAGCAGTTCAATGATTTCCTTAAAGATGTTATCCAATGTACAATGAATGATGTCAAAAATAAGGGTTCTGATCTACTCAAAACCTTCAAAAAAGCTATGCATGAATTCCAGGTAGATGTGGATATAATAGCTTTCTGCTTCGTGGTGTTCCTGTTCTGAAATAACTTTTCAGCTTCTTTGCAATGTAGTATTGTTATGTAAAAGGTTATGACTTGAAACACTGACCACTTTGGAGTCCTATCTATTAGTTTCGAGGCATTTTCGCATATCATCCCACTAACTGTCCACATTTCTTTTGCTAATAATACTAGTAAGTACTTGCAGTATTTCATATCCGATGCTCATTTTTCAGCTCTTCAAATCATTCAAAGTGTAGGATCCTGATTCAGCTGCATGAATTCATTCAAGTTTAGGCCTGACTGACGCTTGCCAATCATAAAGCTAAATCCTTTGGCTCCGGATAACTCTTTTTGAGTTAACAAGATTTGAGCATTTTTAGTGCGTCATTCCGATATAAAAAATTACTGCTTGAGACGTCTTTCTTTAAGACGCCGCTAAGCTCAAGAATACATATTCGTTCAGTTTTTACATCATGCTACATCGTGGAGCTTTTCCTGCATATCCATTTCTGTGAGGGAATTTAGTTTGAGTCGTTTCAACAAAAGTTCTTCTGTGAACGTGCGTTTCATTGTATCTAATTTCTTCTTCATCGAATAAATCTGTTCTGTTTCAGTCCGCATATACAAATCTCTTCAAAATTGAACTACCCAATTATTTGAGTAATTTCGACTTTAGCCGAACGTTTGTGGAGTGAGTCCTTTTTCATTATTTTTTCTTAATAAATTCGTTCGTTGTTACGTATTCTTATTGAATTATTCACATTAGCATGATTCCACTCTCTTATGTTTATTTGCACTCTTCTCTTCAGTCCAAACTAATCATTTGAGAAAGTGACATCAGTGAAAAAAAATGTTTTGAAAAAAAATTTTATCTGCTCGACAGAATGTGAAATTATAATCTCGAAACAATCCAAAAGTACATTCAGTCTACTGACTCGAAAAATTGCATAACGGAATAATGGAATATTCGATTATTTCTGAAGAAAATTTCTCTTTTTTCCAAATATCATCATTTTTCTGTCAAATCAATTTTTTGATAAATGCATGGAATCAAACCGCGACATCATATTCTTTGGCTTAACATCTAACCCACTCGGTTCCTTTGTCATGTTGGTATCGATGTAAAGAATTACAATGACATTGGTGTGCAAATCTCGCGACCTTTAACTTCGCGTATCTCAGCTGACAGGTCGACCGTCAAGATATGACCCCCAGCATAACTTTTTATGCTCTTTCGAATGGTGTTGGTTTCGTCCGAATCGGTTATAGCGACTAATCAGATCTCCCTTGCAAGTTCTCTAGCCTACTCTCCGGTACTCTCATCGGTCGCCCACCGCCTGTCTTTCTCAACTGCCTAATACCTTCCTATCACCTCCCTTAAACCGCTCATCGCCCATTTTCAGAACCGTTGCTCTGCAATCTTATCGAGCATCTATTTCTATCATGAAATCTTTTCAGACAAAATTTTGCCATGGTTAATATATTCTTACATAAGATGAATGTAGAAAGTTGGCGACAAGAAGGCACGTACAGTATATGGAGTTTAATGTGTAAGTCTATTTTGCAATGTCAGTCTTATCACCATGCATCTACCGCTCATCAGTGTTGGTATTAAAATGCTTTACACATCATTTATATCGGTGACGATGACTAAGCGATATGATGCAGAAGAATATAACGTAACTCATGTTTCTTAAAAATCAATTGTTCATGTTTCCGTACTTATGCATTTATCAATAATTTGCTTCACCATTTGCTGTGTTTCTGGTGTTTGTTTTTTTATGCGATGTATTGCTGTATGTGCAGGTGATGTGGGTGGTGCACTTGGATTATTCTTGGGTGCTAGTATGCTAACAATCATCGAACTTGTCTACTTGTCGTGTCAGTATATATTCACTGAAGACAGTTGTAGGCAGCCTGAATCACTGAAGAAACGATTTCGGTAAGTCAAAGCAAACGTTCATCGAATTTGAATGTGAAAATGTGACAGCCATAAAAGAACTGAATTCGTCAGTACACATGATATTGCATTTCCGTTACGTCGAACGCCTATAATTATAACTGAGTTTGTAAACTAAAAACTAAACTGAGATGTGAGTATCAAATGAATAAAGCGTACATTTCAAAGATATCTGATTTCAGCATGCGTTCCATGAATTGTGTGAAAATTGGCAATCCATTCAGGAGATGGAGAAGCAAGCTAAAAAATGTTGAGCTTGCAACAAAGAGCAGCATGGTCGAGGGCAGTTCCTTAGGCATCGAGAACAGCAGGTTGAAGAAGAATCAATCAGACAATTTGCTAACAAAAGCGATAAGATCGAGAAACAGTTTCAATGATACCAAAGCACATCTTTATGCGAAGAAAAAACATAATGATCGCAGTTGTGTTGGACGATCCATATCGGAAGTAATTCGTAAAAGTCAAATGCGTACGGATGATAGCAATGATCAATCCGATGAACAAAAACAATTAATGTCGTCACCAATTAGTAATGAGAATAATATTGATGAGGATGAACAGCTTATGGATAAAATACGCTCAGTTGATAACGGTAATGGTAGTGGTCGCTATGAGACGAATTCTGAAACGACGGAAGACCCTTCAAAAAAAACGTTACCACTAATATATCGGCAGATTATAAACCCACATGCAAGCAAAACAACAAAATCGACTGATTGTGTCGTGTCATTGGAAAATATTGATGAGATAAGCCACAGCGGAAGTAAAAGCAAAAGTGAAAGCAGCAACACTTCAGTGAGGGATGAATCATCATCAGCTCACAGAAGCTGTTATGTGACCGGTAGCGAGGGAGATGACATCATGGTTCATAGTGTACAATCTGATAATGCCGATGAAAGTTGCATGTCGAATGCGGAACGGTTCGAATCTCATGCAACGAGTGCGGATACATCAGCTGCATCTTCCGTTACGAGTGGTAATCATCAGCATCCGACACTATTTATTCCAAAAATTGAAAGACAAACGATTGTTTAGTTGCATAAAAACTCATGTGAACGACAACATGATGATTAATAACTATTGTGTGAAATGTATTGCTGGTTCGACGAATGTTTTAAAATTGGACTAATAAAAGAACTTGGAGTAAATCATTGGGATTTTTTTTTGAACGAGTTGATCTTGTTCTCCGAGTTTGTTAAGAGGCGTTCATTGGGAAAAATTATAAAACTGACAGAGACGAAGTTTTATAATTGTTAAGGATGAATGATTTCCTTTGTTTAGCTCTTCTTGTTTCTTGTTGCTCCGCATACTGTTGTTAATTATGAGAAGTGAATATTCGACCTCGCGATAATGTAAGAATCCCAAAAAGCATGGCAAAAACTAAACTGAAGGTTCT